GTTTTTCCCATCACTTGCTATGCATCTGAGAACTGGACAGTGAATAAGGATGACAGAAAACAAATTTATACCTTTGAGCTGTGATGTTAGAGAAGGGCACTGAACATCCATGGGTGGCAAAGAGAATAAACAGATACATCTTGGAGAGCATACAGCCAGAGTGCTGTTTTGAGGCAAGAATGATGAGGCTTTGACAAACATACGTTGGGCATGTTGCTAAACGGTGCTATTCCTTGAAGAAGGACATGATACTGATAAGGGTCAAGGGTCGCCAAAGGAGAGGAAGACCCTCAACCAGATGGACAGGCACAGTGACTGCTGCAATGGGCTGTTGCGTGTCAGGAAGCATGAGGATGTCACAGATGGAACAGGGTTCAGATATTTTGTTCATAGAGTCACTATGAGTCATACTTGACTCAATGACACCTCACAACAACAACTAATTCCTTACTGACTTAAGTATTTTTTTGCTCCTCTTTATATATATAAATTATCACATCTTAGACAAATTTAAATTATTTCAACAAAGCATGTTATAATAAAATATTATATTCATCTGCTATGATAGTTATTGATGTGTCATCTTAGCTAGGCTGTGTGCCAGGTGTTTTGCAAACACTTATGGCTGTTATAGATGATTAAAGCCATTCTTACAGATTATCTTTCATAACTTGATTCAGTCAGTCAATCAGCTGAAGGTGTTAAGAGCAAAAGGAAAAGCTTTACTGGAGTATATTCTGCCTCCGGACACTAAGTAGATTTTCTGGTAGAATTCTCTCTCCATCTTTTCTGTTGCTTGACCTATTGATACCAGATACATTGGTGTTGAGTTGGATCTGACTCACAAGTGACCCGCTCCCCCCAGTAGGTTTTTGAGAGACTATAAAGAGCAAAGGAAGAGATTACTCACTTTTCTTTCAAGGAGACAATGATAGATTATAATCTCAAGGGAGAAGACTTGAAATTGGGTAGGAATTTGAAGAGGATATGTACTATGTGTGTAAATTTATCATTGCTTCACCTAGTATAATTCTATATGATTCAACTGAATATCTTTGTATTATGTGAAGAGCTAAGATTTCCTAGAATCCTATAATTTAATTAGAATGTAATGTTTAAGCAAAAATGAGATACCTGAGTTTGTATAAGTCTTTCTCTCTGATTTTTCAATTTCTCTGTTCTTCTTTGGAATAAGTAAATCATGTTTTCTCCTATTTAATTCTCCTCAGTGGTTTTTTTTTAATGATTCTCCACTTTCTATTATTTCTTTCTATTTTAATTTTAGTAAGCTTTGGTAGCTTATCACTAGAGAGTTGTGCTGCCAACCCAAAGTCATGTGGTTCGAGTCCACTAGCTTCTCTGAGAGAAAGATGGACAATTCGCTTTCATTCAGTGCCTCTGAAAACCTGATGAAGGGTCAAGTATGAGTTGGTTTCTACTCTGAAGTACATAACAACAATTTAGTTTTACTTCTTTCCCTTCACACGTGTTTTTGGCCAAATATTTGGAAAGAAATAATTTCATTAAAGGTGCCTATAACACTGCTATGAACATCAGTGTAAAATATCCATTTGTCTCATATTTTCCTTGGGGTATATTCTTAGCACTGGTATAGCTGGGTCATATGGAATTTCCATGTTTATCTTTTTGACTAAATTCTAAACTGCATTCCAGAGTGGTTGTATCATTTTTACAATTCCACTAACAGTGTATGAGAGTTTCAATCTCTCCACATCCCCTCCAACATTTATTGCTTGCTATTCTGTTAAACCTTTTCATTACTACTGAGGTGAGATGGTATCTCATTGTGATTTTGATTTGCATCTCCCATATTGCCAGTAATTTTGAACATTTCTTCATGTGTTTGCTGGCCATCCAAATGTCTTTCTCTGAGCAAAGTCTTTCCATGTCTTTTGCCCATTTTGTAATTGGTTTATCAATCTTTAGCTTCTAAAGGCCCTGTAATATTCTATAAACTTTCATAATGAGACCCTTGTCTGAGTGGTCATTGCTTATTTTTTTCCCAGTCAGTACGTTTTGTTTTCACTCTTTTGGAAAAAGGTTTTGATGCACACAGGGACTTAATCTTCAGAAGATCCCATTCATCAATGTTATCCTCTCCTTTACTCCTAAGTTTCTGAGTTGGTTTTTGTGTATGGTGTGAGATGCAGTTTCTGATTAAGCTTTCTGTAAGTAGAATTCTAGTTTTTCCAGCATTATTTGTCTCACCATTTGATAGGTTTTGTTTCCTTGTCCTTATCATTTGACGATAGCTAGATGAGTTAATTTCTGGTCTTGATGTTCATAGCACTACTATTCACAGTAGCAAGAAAAAGGAAACAGCCCAAATGTCCATCAGCAAATGATTGGGTTGAGAAACTGTGGTACATTTTCATGCCAAATACTGTGCAGAACTCAGAAACAACAATTTCGTAAAATACTATACAACATGGGAGAAGCTAGAATGCATATGTTCAGTGAACTTACTCAGCGTCATAAAGACAAAACTTTCTTAAGACCATTTGTATAAAAACAGAAGGATGCCTAGTTAAATGTTTATCAATGTCCAAAGGGTTAGGGAGGAATGACAGCTTGAGGATGTGGAGGGCAGAAATGATAGGGCCCCAGAGTTTGGTGGGTGGAGGGAGAAGATGAAGGAATTAGGAAAGATCCAGTTGGGACATGAAAAGACAAGGTAATATATCAAAGGGCATAGATCAATGGTGATTAATTTAATAGAACACAATATATGGGAATAACCACATCAAACACAATTTGAGAAAGAATGTGTGAAACACAATGTGTATGCACAAAACACAATATATATGATTTTGTTTGCAAACCAATATGAAATTTTAGAAAAATGCATGTAAACGCCTTATAAAGAATGAAGGAAAACCTCAAGTTCGATCATCTTATATAATGTTTTGTTTTAGAAGTAAGAGCAAAACCTCATACCACAGTGAAAAGAAGCAAACATAGTAAAACTGGTGTTTTTTTTTCTTCCTTACTATGTTTCAGAATGGGAACTCTGGTGGTCTAGTGGTAAGGAATTGGGCTGCCAGCCCAAAGGAACACAGTTCTAATCCACCAGCTGCTCCTTGGGAGAAAGTTGAGAGATCTCCTCTAGTGTGATTTATACCCTCCATAAGCCCATTGGAGAGTCCAGGTCAGGGTCAGCTATGAGTCAATTGCAACATGGCACAATAACAATACATTTTAGAAGGATTTTTATATGTCACTGCACACAGCACCAACTTGTTGCAGTAATTTCCCTATTACTGCCTAAAAAAAACATTTATTTACTCCTAGGAATGTGGAATGAGATTTTTCTCATCCTTATAATTACCAGGGATTTGCCTTTAATATTAAAAATTTATTACCAAATCTAAATTGGAGAAAATTATGTGCCAAATGCAATATTTTCCTTGACTCAAAAGACTAAACTAAAACCCACTCAGAGCTGATCTCCTATTGAGTTTTCAGGGCAATAACTCACTGGAGAGGAGATATTTTTCCTGTTTAGCCACTGGTGAATCCAAACTGCCAAAGAGTCTCCATGATTAGGTTCACAGTGCCACTCTTGGTGGAGGCCACCAGAGCTCCCGTAACTTGCTATTTTTATGTGCAGTCAAGTTGGACCCAACATAGAATTGATCCTCCAGTGTGCTTTCAGAGGTTATAAATCACTCTGGAGAGACTGTCCATCTTTTCCCCACAAAGAAGCTGATGGAATCCAACTGTGTGCATTTGGATTAACAGCACAACTTCTTACCAGTCGGCCACCAGAACTCCCTAAATCAAGAAAGATATATTTCTTACATTAAACGGATCTAATGAAAACCATTTCTAAATTACACACTTATTTCAAATTACCTCCCTTCAATTGAACTTATCATAGAACTATTAATTAAATTTATTTTATTTTTTTGTCTTGTTTTTAAAATGTGACCCTATCAGAACAGAGGAAGGTGGGCAAACTCATTTCATGGGATTTAACTGCTTTTGAAAACCTGCCAGAGAATCAGCAATGGGTTGGTTCTGACCCGAGGCAAACAACAACAAGATCATCAGAACATTTAGTTTCATTGGACACAAAATGTACAATTTGTGTCAAAACTTTTTCTTTTAAATATATAGTACAATCCTCCTTATTTTTCTCTCAGTGATGATGAATAAGCATTATTCTTAGTGAATATATCTAATTGCTTTATGAGACATCAGAGCAAGAAAGGTAGCATTATTGTTGGTTTTATGCTCTTCATCCTTAAGTATGCGATGCATTTTCTGCCTCTGAGTCTGGTTCTAATGGGGAAACACTCATTCATAGAAATTACATCTTACTATAATTATGAGATAGATATCAGATGTTTTCATGTGTGCTTCATCTGACAAAATATATCGATATGAATTATATCTCACTGCGTAAGAATAAACCCCAGAGCTATTTAGGTCTTTGTATTTTGCTTCCTTGCTGTGTTGTCTTTTAAGCTATTATATGTCTCACTGTAATAATAGTGAATTATGTTTAGCAAAGTAGCCTTCTTTTATTAAAGGTGCATTTTAATTTGACATTACAAATAACTGGCTTTAAAAATGTGATTGGCCTTAATGTCTTTTTTAGATCTCTTTTGGAGATATGCTTACTGCAAAAATGTACTGCTTGGGAATTTGGTAAATTAGCTTGCAATAAGATACATCATTTTTAGTTTATCAGAAAAAGAAAATGTTTCAAATTCCTGTTGCGGTTGTTATTTACTAAAAACAAGGAAATAGAATTTTCAGGTAGATATGTTCATGTAAGTTTAGATACCATTTGATAAAGTGGGTCAAGTGTGAAAACTTCTGTTTCTTTGTGATGACACATTAAGCATGACCTTATCTCTGAAAGCATTAAACATAATAAAATGAAGCTTTGCTACCTTCTTTTCCCAGGTACCTTTAATAGAATGTTTTAGAACTAATACAAACATCTAAATTATAAAATGTTTACCTTATAGGAGCCAATGAGAAAGAAATAGTTCTAATGAATGGTTTGACGGTTAATTTACATCTTCTACTGGTAAGTTTCCTTTCCCACTAATGTTTACTAGACATTGATTTGAAAAATCTGATAATTTTTTTCTATCTTTAATTCATGAGCATTTAGTAGTTTATTTATTTTTAAATAAATTTTGGATTTATTTTCATTCTTATCAGAAAGTGTTAGACCATGATATAATGGCTTCTTTATAATCATAAGAGAGTTGACTCATGCAAAGAGCTTTTAAGAATAATAAACAATTCTTATCTCAGAACATAAAGAATAAGAATCATAGTAAGTATAAAAGAAAACTGTTTAGGAATGCACCAAAATTAATGATGTACCAATGCTATCAAAGCATTAACATTTTTAGAGAGGTAACTTTCCAAAATGCTAGAGTTTAATAGAATAGTATCATGGGTGAGTATGTCCCTAGACATTAATTATTTGGAGGTGAGTTAAAAAGGAATAGGAAAATAAAATTAATGTTTTATTCATGTTTAATGAGGGGGAAAGACTTTATACCGTAAACAAGGTACTACGTTGGAAGTATACTCAATAATTATTTATAATTTAACATATCAATTATATCCTTGACTTGACTTACACTATATAGTAATTAGATGTTTGACAGTGTGGACTGCAACAAATTATGGCTAACATCAAGAAGAATGAGAATCTGAGGACTCTCAATTGAGCTCGTGTGAAACTGACATCTAGACCAAGAGGTTCTTCTGCAAAAAAAGCAAGGAAATACTACATAGCTTAAAATTAGGAAAGGTGTGCATTATGGCCTTTCCCTATACATATTTAACCTGTATGCCGAACAAATTATTTGGAAAACTGAACTCTATGAAGAAGAGTATGACACCAAGATTGGAGGGAGACTCATTGATAGTCAACCTTCATTATGTGGATGATAAAATCCTACTTGCTTAAAGTGAGAAAGATGTGGTACACTTGTTGAAGATGGTTAAACAATGCAGCTTCAATATGAATTGCATCTCAACGTCAAGAAAACAAAAATCCTAGCCACTGGACCAATAGGTAACATCATGATAGATGGAGAAAAGATTGAAACTGTCAGCGACTTCATCTTACTTGGATCCAGAATCACTACCAGCAGTCAAGAGATAAGGAGATGTATTACACTGGGCAAGTGTGTAGTCAGGGACCTCTCCAAATTATTGAGGGACAATGATGTTAGGTTGAAGACTAAGGTACCCCTGATTTAGCATAGGGTCTCTTCAGTCACTTATATGAAAGCTGTATTATGAATAAGGATGACAGAAAAAAGAATTGATGCCTTTGAATTATGGTATTGGAGAAGAGTACCAAATATTCCATGGACTGCCAAAAACACAAACAGGTATGTCTCAGAGAAGATTCAGCAAGGATACTCCATGGAGATAAAGTTGATAAAGTTTTGTCTCACATTCTTTGAACATGTTGCTAAGAATGGTTATTCCTTAGAAAGGGTAGAAAGGGGAATCATGCTTGGAGGGTAGGTGAAAGAGAGAAAGACCCTCAACCAAGTGGATTGAAACAATGACTACAACAACAGGATAAAGTTTGTCAGAGATTGTGAGGATGGGACAGGATAGAACAGTGTTCAGCTCTATTGTTCATAGGGTCTCTATGAGTCATACTTTATTTGATTGAAATGAAGAAGTGGTTATTAGTAATGCCTGAAGAAACATACGTGTGGAGTATTTTGAATACAGTACTAACCAGCATACTTTTTAAATTCAGACACTCTGGCATTGACTTCCAGCTAAGTTACTAAATATCTTTGACCTGCACAGAGTTTTTGGCATCTATGTCTTAATTGTCTTCTCTGTAAGAGTGGAGACAATAAAACCTACCCATAAGTCTGCTCAAGAATTAAAAGTGATAATGTGTGAAAATTGTCTTGGCACCTGGTCCATTATGAACACCACATCAACAATGTATTCTTGTTGTGGTTAGGTGCCCTTGGGTCAAGGACAACTCATAGTGACCCTCTGAACAAAAGATATGAACCCTATCTTATCTTGTACCATCCTTACACTTCTTGATAAGCAAGAGCCTGTTGAGGCAGTCACCCTGTCAATCCACCTGGTTGAGGGTCTTCCTCTCCTTCTCTGACCCTCCACCTTCCAAGCAATATCTGTCACTTTACTCTTGTAAACATGTTTCTGGTATTTTCTGCTTTCAGTAAGTGTCCACCTGATTTAAGCAATGGTGTTTAAGAGAAATGTGTTTGTTGCTGCTGTTATGTGCCGTCAAGTCACTTATGACTCATAGCAACCTTATGTACAACAGCCCTAAACGCCTTCTCTGTCCTGTGCCAATCTCACTGTCTCTGACACCCATCCGATTACCCCAGTCACTAAATCAATCCACCTTATATAGGAGATTCCTCTCCTACGCTGTCCCTCCACCCTCCCAAGCATGACGTCCTTCTCCAAGGACTGGTCCCTACTTGCGACATGTCCAAAGTATGTCAGACGATGCCTCAGCATCCTTGCCTCCAAGAAGCAGCCTGATTTACTTGTGTTTTATTGATTATGTAAAATATTTTTACTATGTGTATCATAACAAATTATGGCTAACACTGAGACTACTGGGAAAGATAGAATACTTAATTATGCTCATACAAAACATGTACATAGACCAAGAAGCAGTTGTCTGACTAGAATAAGAGAATACTGAATAGCTTACTGTTAGGAAAGATGTGCATCAATGTAGTATCCTTTCTCCATACCAATTCAATCTGTATGCTAGCCAAATTTTTTGAGAAGCCAGACTATACGAAGAAGTGTTATACTGAAGCTGTGTTATCAGGACTGGAGAAAGACTTATCACCCCATATTATGAAGATGATACAACCTTGGTTGTAGAAAGTGAAGAAGACTTGAAGCACTTACTGCAGAAGATCAAAACTTTCAATATGGGTAAAATTAAAAATCCTCACCACTGAATAAACAGGAAACATCATAATAGATGGAAAAGTCTGTCTTGAAGAAGGCGCATGCAACAGGAGTTTTCCTTTCATGTAAAGATAGCGAGATTTGTCTCAATTTGGGTATATTGTCAGGAGGAACTAATCATTGGAGAGAGCCATTATGATGAGAAAATTAGAGTCAATGAAAAAGAGGAAGATGCTCAATGACACAGTCATTGCTATGAAAAGCTTGAGTAGGACAGAGACCATGAAGATGGCACATGATATTACAAAGTTCAGGTCTGTTGTTCACGGTGTCACTCCAAGTAGTAGACTTGACAGCACCTAACACAACATATTAACATCACTGTATTTAGTAGTATCATTACTCTCATCATCCAGAAACCACCTGAAGAAATTAAAGGGCTCAAATGAACAAAAGTCAATTGTTCCTGGTATCTTTAGAAATGCTAATTGTCTCTTCTTCTGATTACTTTTTATCAGGTGTCTTCAGCTGAAACAAAACTAAAATCCCCCCACAACATTAAAATGTACAAGTGTTATGTAAAGAAACCAAATTAGCTATGAAAAGTAATGTAGACTATACTATAGAATATGGTATACGAACATACCATTTCAGTCACTTCTGGAGCTCTGGTAGCATAGTCACAAGAAGCTGCTCTGCAATCCCTAAGGCATGTGGTTTGAGTCCACCAGCTGATCTGCAGGAGAAGGATGGGCAATCTCCTCCTGTACCATTAACTGCCTCTGAAAACCTGCTGGAGGGTCAGCTATGGGTTGGGTCTGACTCTTTGGTACATAACATTAGAGAAATTATCATTAAATATTTTGTGAAGATAATTTTGCAATGAAATTTCTTTTTGGAAATTATTTTATCTGATTCCCAATCTCTACTGGGTTAGTTTTTCACTGATACAAATAATAAATATTTTCTTCCTCTTTCTCATTCATTATATTGAGCTTAGTTGATGAAGGTACCACTGGCAGGAATTATAGATGTTTAATTAATTAATGCTTGTAAAATGCTAGGGATTATAAAATAAAAGTAAGCAATAAAATGAACAAATTAATAAATTGTGAGTTAATGCTTTTTTTCCAATAAATCTATTTCATTGCAGTTATCATTTTTCAAGCCCACATCAAAACGATATAAAATTCTTCTAGAAGCCAAAGCCTTTCCTTCAGATCATGTAAGGATTTATGTTCTTTCAAATTATATTCTTTCTACCCTTCCTACAAGAGCTTATCATTTGTGTGACTTGAATGTGTATTCACTAACTTTTCCAAGTAAGCTTACAATAAAAGGTTTGTCAAAAGCTTTTGAATTAGGTATGTTTTTTAATAGATTGTAACTTTTTTCCTTATGTTCAAGTAAAACATCTTTGAAGGGAGCAAAGCACTGAATAGGAACACTGATGTATTCGTCTTTTTAAAAGCATTAAGCAAACTGCTGGACTAAATCAAGTGCAGGTATAAATGTTTTATTAATTCTTGTTTGTGTTTTATTTTATAAAATTAAATCAATATAAATTCTGGTGCTTTAACTTTTAGCAACATACAATGGGAATATTTTCTTTGAAAATTTTATATTTCACGTTGTTTTCACCATAGGCTGCAACAATCATTGGTGCTCTAATAGTTTAAAAAGTGTTGTTTAGGCTTACTTATTGATATACATTAAAATAGCACTATTTTATTTTATCAGCAATACAGTTGAGTCCAATTAAAAATGTAATATTTTCAGAGAAGTGAAGTTGGTGGTACATTACACATTTTGTTTTAGAGAAATTTGATTCCTACATTTCACTTTACCACTTGTATATCATGGCATAGATCACATTTTGTATAAGCTTTAAAGCACTTAACTATGCTCAAATCAGTAACTATTACAAGAGTGAATGATAATAAAGGATGATGTTCAAGCTGCACTGAAGCTATTAGCAAAAACAAGGCACCAGAAACTGATGGAATACCAATTGACATGTTTCAATAAACAGACGCAGCTTTGAATGTGATCCATATTTTAAGCCAGAAAATTTGCAAGATAGCTACCTGGCCTACTGACTGGAAAAGCTCCATATTTATCCTCATTCCACAGAAAGGTGATCCAAAAGAATATGGAATAATGGGACAATATCATTAATATTTCATGTGAGCAAATATTATTGAAGATCATTACAAAATGTATGATGACAGAGAACTACTAGAAATTCAAGCTAGCTTTAAAAGAGTCCATGGCACCAGGGAAAAACCGTAGTGAAAAGTAAAGAATACTAGAACAATGTTTTATTAACTATGCAAAGACATTTGATTTTGTGGATCATAACAAATTATGATTATGCTTTATTGATTATGCAAAGGGGTTTGACTGTGTGCACCATAACAAACTGGGGCTCACTCTGAGAAGAATGGGAAACCCAGAATACTTGATTGTGCTAATGCAAAACTTATACTTGAACCAAGAGGCAGTCGTCAGAACAGAGCAAGGAAACACTGCATGGTTCAAAATTTGGGAATGGCGTATGCCAGGGATGGGTCCTGTCTCCATACCTTTTCAACCTGTATGCAGAACAGATCATCCGGGAGGCTGGGCTCTATGAGGAGAAATGCGGCATCAGGATTGGTGGAAGATCTATCAACAATCTGCATTATGCAGATGACGCAAACCTGCTTGCTGAAACTGAGGAGGAGCTTGCTGCAGAGTGTCAAGGACTGCAGCTTTCAATATGGATTGAGGCTCAATGTCAAGAAGACAAAGATTCTCACCACTGGACCAATTGGCAGCATCAGAATGAATGGTGAAGAGATTAAGATGGTTCACAGCTTTAGTCTGCTTGGCTCCACAATCAACACTCTTGGCATCAGCAGCTAGGAAATTAAAAGATGTATTGTGATGGGAAAGTCTGCTGTTAGGGATCTGTCCAAAGTACTGAAGAGCAACAGTGTGTCTCTGGAGACTAAGGTGTGTCTGGTACAGGCCATGGTCTTTGCAATCACATGTAATGCATCAGAGAGCTGAACAATGACCAGAGAGGATAAAAGGAGAATTGATGCTTTTGAGCTTTGGTTTAGAGAAGAGTGTTAAGGGTACCATGGACTGCTAAGAAAACAAACAGATTCATCCTGGAGAGGGTTAAACCGGGCTGCTCCTTGGAGGCAAGGATTCTGAGACCTCATCTGACACACTTTGGTCATGTTGTAAGGAGATACCAGTCCTTGGAGAAGGACATCATGCTTGGTAGGGTGGAGGGCAGGCACAGGAGGGGCAGACCCTCTGGGAGGTGGATTGATTCGGTGACTGGGGCAATTGGGATGAGTGTGTCAGAGACAATGAGATTGGCACAGGACAGAACAGAGTTTAGAGCTGTTGTACGTAGGGTCGCTATGAGTCACAAGCAACTTGATGGCATATAACAACAACAACAATAACAACAACAAACTATGACTGTCATTGAGAAGAGTAGGAATTGCAGAACAATTATGCTAAAATGAAATTTATACCTAGATCAAGTAGCTGTTGTCAGTATCAAGCAAGGGAACACTTTATAGTTTAAAATCTGTAAAGATGTGCATCAGGGTTATATCCTTTCTCCATACTTATTCAGTCTTTATGCTAAGCATATAATTCATGAAGCTGGACTCTATCAATTAGAATGTGGCATTAAGATTGGAGGAACATTCATCAACAACCTGTGTTATGCAGATAACAGAACTTTGCTTGCTAAAAATGAAGAGGATATGAAACTTTAGTTGTAGAAGATCAAGAATTACAATCTTCAGAATAGATTACATTTCAACATTAAGAAAACAAAGGTCTTCACCACAGTTAGCATCATCATATATGGAGAAAGGACTGAAGCTGTCAATAATTTCATCTTCCTTTGATTAACAATAAGTACACTTGATCAAGTAATTTGTTACACTGGGCAAGTCTGTTCTCAGGGACCTCTCCAAAATATTGAAGAGCAATGATGTCAGTACAAAGACCAATATGCCCCAATTCAGGCCATGGTCTTCTCAATCACCTATTACACACGAAATACCTGGACAATTAATAAGGATGGCAGAAGAATGGATGACTTTGGGTTATACTAAATATTCCATGGACCACCAAAAGAACAAACAGATATGTCTTGGAAGGCAAGAATTCTGTCACTGATCCACTCAAAGATGGAGAAGCTTCCTCTTTCCCAGTTGGCACATGCAACTAGGCAAGGTTATTCTCTGGAAAGGATGTCATGTTTGCAAAGACAGAAGATCAGCAAAAGGGAGGAACACCATTTGAGAAAGGGAAAATCCTAATGAGATAGATTTACAAGATGATTTCAGCAGTGGGCTTAAGTTGTGTCAGAAATGATGAAGATGACATAGAATAGGGCAGGGTTCAGGTGAGCTGTTCCTAGAGTCACTACAAATTGTACATGACTTGACAGCACCTAACAGCAACAACCAAAAATAAGCAAAACACAAAAAAAGATCTTGACAACATTTATGAGCCTTCTAATTGACTGTCCATGATGCATTTTCAGTAAAGCTCTTTGTCCCATGTAAATAAATAGGTGCAGTTTCAATTTTTTTAAGTATACAGTTATCTCCACCAGATTGCACAACAATTGCCATTATCCATATCTGAATTTTTCCACAGCCTTAATGGTGCCTTCTAAAATCAACAATTGCTTTTGATTTTTCCTTTTAATATTCTACTTTTCAAATGCCCTGTATTCAAGCATAACAAGTTCATATTGTTCTCTTTGTTATATCTAACTAAAATCTTTGGCTTTGACTTAAATAAGGTGACTTGATAATTTATTCTAAAATCTCTTCTATCTGTGTAGATGACTCTTAAACTTCCATCTGTCTGTAATAACGTTTCCAAGAGTGTTCAGATCTCTTTGTAAATTACATTAAGTGGTTCTTTTATATTCTGATTACTTTACCCTTGGACTTAATATGATAATGTTTGTTACATTATTATTTGTTCTCAAAGTTGTTATTTCAATGTGTTTCTGTGCATTTTATTTGATTAAATATATCGCTTTTCTTTTCCAGTATGCTATTGAGTCACAGCTTCAATTTCATGGACTTAATGTTGAGACGTGCATGCGGATTATAAAGCCAAGAGAGGTATACGAGAAAGAGAAAATAAATATTCATCCTTCTGTTACTTGGTATTGATTTTTGCAGTCAGCTTTCCTCAAAAGTTTATTCATTTTGTTACTTTAATGGAGTTTTCAGGAAACTATAAAATACCGATATTTCTGTTACTATTAAGTAATTTGCTTAAAATAGAGAATGAACTAGAAGTGCTGTTATATTCAATATCCAAGAGACAGCCAAACGTGGCAAGATAACTATTTCATCATTGGGATGAGAAGTGGCAAACTGAAAACTAAAAAAAAAAAAAATCTCAGTCTCATTACCATTGAGTAGATTCATAACTGATACTTCAGTGGGTTTTCAGGAGGCTCTAAATCACATGGGAAGAAATTGTCGATCTTCTTCCTTCAGAGATACAGATGGATTCAAACCAGCCAGAGGCCCTACCTTTAGGTTCACAGGGCAACTCAACTTGCAACTCAGTATTTTCAAGTTCAAATGCTAATAATGCCTGTGTCTACCACTGAAATCACCCTGATGCCCAGTGACTTGTGTTGAACATTCCAGTTGTTGTGAATGATGACTATCATTTCCCTTCCTCTTAATCCAAGTGACAAGCCTTTGTCTTAGTGCATAGACTGGAGTGTACGGCATAGGTATAGTGAAAAACGCTTAAGCTTTTTAGCCTGGCTGTTTTATCTCAGTATCATTCCACACTCAGCACTAACTAAGCATGCACTTTTGAGAAAGTTACTTTATCTCTCTGAGACTCCTTTATATTAAAGCAGGTAACAAAGAATTCATTTAATCAGTCTTGACCATATGATCAAGACTTAAAATACTGTGTACTTCACATTAATAAAGATATAAGACCAAGTGTACAGACTTTGACATATAAACCCTGCAGCTAGTGTAATTTGGCACCAAGAGAATCAGACAGAATAAATTTTAGGTTTCAGATATAGTGCTTTCAGGCTGTTAAACTAATGTTTGAACAATTATTTCTTTCAGCTCAGAATTACTTTGAAGATATTATGCACCTATTCTATTCTCTTTGCCAACATGCAATAAAATAATGGGATAAAAAAAAATCTCGTACTTGTAAAAAAAGTAATCTGTTTCATATGTCATATACAAATTACTAACTTCAAGTATAAATTAATTTAGCTGCTATATATCACAAATGTTAATGCCAGTGAGGTAGTGGAGATTCATGGGTTAATTATAATCCTGGGATGACATTTTAGTATTATTTCTTTTTTGTTGTTCTTGTTGCTGAGATTATATAGGAAAACATACCAATTCACCAGTTTCTCCATGTAAAATTAAGTGTCAAGGATTGCATTGTTTAATTGTGCAGTTGTTCTCACCTTTTTCTGAGTTGTTCCTCTCCTAAACATAATCTCATTACTCCTTTATGTTCCTATCTAATGTTTTTTCCCCCTTGATTAGCTTTGGAATTGCTTTTGTCAATTTGACTCCATATAGACAGTGCCTAAGTGAGTATAGCGGTGAATAGAGACATGAATGTTGAAGGCTATAGTTTTTGAGCTTCATTCATTAGTGCTTTAAGTATTTATGTCCTGCAAATAAAGATGAGTAAGGGACCTCGAGTAGTGGATTGTGTTGCTAACCAAAAAAATGGTACTTCCCTACTTCAAATCCATTGCTCCAGTGAGCAATCTCCTCCCATGAAGACTCACAACCTCTGAAACGCAATGGAAGTTTACTATAAGTCAGAACTGACTTCATAGCAGAAAGATAAAGCTTTGTAATGACTTCCCTGTGAATTCTTGTTTCCACAATTTTATCACCTTCTCTTAATAATGATAATTCTGTGCAAGTACTTCACATTGGCTAAAGTTTTGAATTTTATCACCTTCTCTTAATAATGATAATTCTGTGCAAGTACTTCACATTGGCTAAAGTTTTGAAGATCACTTATCTGGGATAGATGAGTTCTGGTAGCCTCCTGAGTAAGAAATTCTGTGCCAACTCAAAGTACATTGTTTGAATCCACCAGCTGTGCCAATGGCGAAAAATGGGCAATTTTATCCCATTTTATTTATTGCTCCCTGAAAACCCTTTGGAGGACCATCTATAGATTGATTCTGACTCTATAATGTATTAACAACATAATAAATAAAAGACTTTTGGTTTTTTTCTTTTAGTGAGAAAAATATTTGATTAAATTTAGGTTGGAAACATGAAGTGGCAAATACATTATTGTGTGGATGTGGCTAATACCATTAACTTGTGGTTAATTCTACTTTAGGGGGAAGAAACATTGAGAATGGAGGATATCCTTGAAGTAATTGAGAAGGAAGGAGACACAATTGCAGTGATTCTTTTCAGTGGGGTGCATTTCTACACTGGCCAGCTCTTTAATATGCCAGCCATCACAAAAGCTGGGCAAGCAAAGGTAAGTACATTATTCCCGCCTTCTCACCTTGCCTAAGCTCATACTAGAGCCGCCTCTCCTGTCAGCTCTGTGTTTGTTTGCTTGTATGGGAATAAAATTGTTTCTGAAGCTTTGGGTGTTGCAAATGGTGAAGCACTCAACTACTACTCAAAAAGTTACATTTGAATCCATCCAGCCGAGCCTTCAAAGATAGGGCTAGTGATCATTTGAAATTTCCCAGACTTAGAAAGCCTGTGGAATGGTTATAGACTGCACATTTAGGCTTATTATGAATTGGAATTAATAACAACTAACCAACAATAACAAAATAATCTTTGGGGTATGATTACAAGTATACATGTAATAGGAGTAAGTACACGTATACATACACATAGCTTTCATTCTTGATCTTCTTGCTATGTAGGCATCTCTATAAAAATCACTTTTTAGCAATCCTGTGGTCTTACCTCCTTACCTTCTCTCCAGTACTTTGGCTCCAGTCAGCAGGACAGGAGAGCTTCTTGTAGTTATGTCATTGGTTTTTAGCTGCTCAGTTAGCAGAAGGCAAGCAGAAAATAGGATATTACCTACAAGCTAGGACTGTGAGGCTCAGCTTTGGTCTACATTGTTGACAGTTGCCTTCAAGTCAAGTACAACTCATAGTGACCCTTCATATAACAGAGCAGAACCTTGTGCTATCTATCCTATGCAAAAGATCAAGTTTTACATGTTACTTTTAAAGAGGCACTTTGTTCTTTTAGTCTTATCTAATCTATATTAAGAATCTTGAGAAATTATTATGCTGTTTATAATGTGAAATTTTCCCTACACACCACTAAATCACAGTTAAATTATCATTTCAAAATTGTGTCTCTTTTGATAGTGTTTAGAAAAAGTGTTTTTAGTAATTGTTTGCCTAAAGAGAGAAATCAGAGAATCAACTTTCAATAGCGACAATTTGTATTTAAAACCCTTAAACAGTTCTATTTGATTTGGCAATCAAGTTATATATTTAAAAAAGGTGAAAGTCTAATTTTATTCTGAACTTTAATAAGTTATGAGATTAATATATGTGTGAGTTCTGGTTAATATATTCAGTTATTGAAGCTAATGAATGGAACTAATGAAAAGAAATTTAGTACTGTTATCAGCAGTCTCTAGGAATTTCCAACCATGACTTCCAACTGGTTTGATGAATAACTATGAAAGTGGTGCATTACAGAAGATATCAAGATAATGACTTCTTAATTTAGATATTCAATATTAAGCACCAAAATAAAGGGAGGCCTATACAAAAACCATATTTTAAAATGTTACACAAGTAACCAGCAACTCCTGTTCTCCTTAGTATACATACATGTCTCATTACACTTCTTATGAATGAGGCAGAAAGACACAAGACTCCAGGTTTTGGAAAAAAAAAAAACCAAACCTGTCTGAGGAACAAATTCTGGGTAGGCTATCTTAATTGCCATATGATGTCAAGCAAGTTTTTCAATTTTAGGAATTCCTGTTATTGAATAGTGCCAATTTGGAATAGCAGTAAATCACCTCATAAATGTAGGGTGTAAATGAAGAGTATAAAACAGCTTTTGGATTAGCATATATTTTGACCCTAAGTGTAGGTTGTCAGAATCAACTACCATTGATGTCAGGAGGCTGTAAACATCCCAAAAGACTGGCCATCTTTCACCCTCAGAGCTGCTGGTAGATTTAAATCACAAGGGAGGTGTTCCCTTTAGGTTAGCAGCACAACTCCTGATGGGTTATGCCACCAGAGGTCTTTGCATGCTTGTGTGTGTGTGTGTGTGTGTGTGTGTGTGTGTTTCTCTCACCTCACTGTAGTTGAACTGGAAATGACTAATAGTTGACCCCCCAGTAAGTTTTCAGAGGTTGTAAATCACATGGGAGGAGATTGCCTATTATTCTTCTGCGGAGCAGCTGGTGAATTTGAACCACCTGCCTTTGGGTTGGCAGCACATCATAACTCTTTACCCAATGAGGGCACTGGAGTTGCCTATATAAACATATAATGCCCAGTAAAATCTCTCAATTAAGGAAAGGAGGATAGGAATAAGAAGTTACAATTTAAATGCTAACACAAAGTGTTAGATACTATGGGCATAAAAAGGACATGTAGCTGAATTAGATTTATTCATTATCAAAAGTTCTTGAAAATAGTTATGCTCCTGCGAGACAAACTCTTTCATTGTCAACTAAGATTGATGAACATTCCTCTTTAAATGGAGATCTACACAGATCTCCTGGGTGGTCTGTGGAGATAAGGCTGAAGAGAAAGACAGAGAGAAAATTAAAGGCGTCAGTCAAGAAAGTGATAGTGAATTCTAAAAAAAAAAAAAAAGAGGTAGAAGACTCACTCTTAGGACTAGTTGGATAAAAAGACAGAAAGGAAGATTTCAGAAACTAAATACAAGAAGAATTAAATATTAAGATGGAACCTGGGAAGTATTTAAGGACAACATGACCCGTTTTGGAAGTATTGAACCATGTGATGGGAAAACAGAGATGGAGATTACAAATGCATCTTATTTGTAATTGAAAGATTCTGTGTATACTAGGAGAGAGAGCAAATACTGAGTAAATCACTTGATGAATTATTTTGAATGTGTGTCATCATCAATCAAAAGCCTATCTATAATCAACATCTTACATAGTGCAGATGACACAAACTTGCTTGCTAAAGCTGAGGAAGACCTGAAGCACTTGCTACAGAAAGTCAAGGACTGTATTCTTCAATAAGAATTGAAGCTCAGCACCAAGAAGTCTGGGCCAATTTTCAGCAGCATGACAGATGGAGAAGAGACTGAGGTGAACAAATTATAGCTTACTCACCTCCACAATCAACTTTCTTGACGCCAGTAGTCACGAACTCAAAAGACCAATTGCACTTGGAAAATCTGCTGTCAGTGAACCTCTCCAGAGAACTGAAAAGCAATGATGTCAGTCTGGAGACTAAGGCATGCCTTATCCAGGCCATGGTCATCACAATTACTTGCGATGCAGCAGAGAGGTGGACAATGACTAAGGATGACAGAAGATCTGTTGCCTTTGAGTTGCAGTGCTGGAGAGGAGTCTTGAACATTCCATGGACTGCCAAGAAAACAAATAGGTCTGACTGGAGAGGGTGAAACCAAGTTTCTCCTTGGAGGCTAGGATTTTGAAGCTCTATCTCACATACTTTAGGCAAGAGGCCAAGAGGGACAAATCCTTGGAGAAGGACATCATGCTCAGAAGGGTGGAGGAATATCTTAGGAGAGGAAGAACCAGGATGAGATGGATTGATACAGTAACTAAGGCAAAGGGATAGTGTGCCAGAGTCAGTGAGACAGGCTCAGCACAGGGCAGGCTTTAGAGCTGTTGTACATAGGGTTGCTATGAGCCATACATAACAACAACAATCATCACTCTAGTAAAAAATAGATCATTTAAAAATCTTCAGTTATATCCACTCTCTAATATTGTCTACTCTCTGCTACGATTATTCTTTAACAGCATATATTTGTTATCTTTAAATTTTATATTAATGGATTCTTATTTATTTTGTGTTAGGCTTACTTGCTCACACTTAAGTTGTTTAGATTCATGCATGTTGCATCTAGCAATAGTTGTTTAGATTTTTCCTTTCCATTGAAATTTGTATTATCTTTTGTATATTAAAAAATCAAAACTTATTGCTGTCAAATTGGAACCAACTCATAGCTAATCCATTATTCGGTTTCCAAGACTGTTAGTTTCATAGGAAGATATCCGTCTTTTCCTTTCAGAGCTACTAGTGAAAGCTTATGAACTAAGGGTTTTGAGGCTTTTAATTACTGTTTCTAGAAGTTCTATGTCCACCTTCATATCAATATACTCCATACAGATTTGTCTTTTCATTAACAATGGTTTTCTTGTTTCTTGACATCCTTCCGCTGCTCCTTTGACTCAATTCTGATATTTTTATTGTTTTCCCTTTTTTATCAATCATTTGTTAAGCCCAACCTCCCAGCGTCTATTTTTCTTGAATCAGTTACAAGGGTTTTTAACTTTAAGAGAGAAAATCAGTAAAAGGTAACTTAACAATAGAGATTTCTGTTTCTCACCAGTGGACTCCTGAGATGTGTGCAATATCTCAATAGTATTGGACTGACATCTCCAGAATCGATTAGAATTTTCTCAGATTCTTCTCTTCAAGATCCAAATCAAGATAATGCATTTCTATCTAAGGAAAGAAGGAAAAAGAAGTAGTGACACTTCCTTTATATTTTCCATCTAAACTGTAAACTCTCTCCCAGAACAACCCACCAGGCTTCTACTTATGACACATTGCACTCTTTTAGCAATATTTGACACTTATGACCCTATAATAGAGAAATCTGAAGAAGAAGTTGAGCTCCAAAGAAGATTGGGCTTAGCCAATAGACAATATTCTTGGTTTCCCCAAAGACATTTCTAAAGAATTTCACTTTTAAACGATTTCTTCCTTTACTATTCTATATTTCCTTTACATGTTCCCCTTTATTTTTCCCTTCTTTCTTGCTTCTTGTTTATCCATTTTTAAATTTTCTTTTTTACCTAATTTCACAGGACATTTACCAATAATTCATAAAAAGAGGATAATGGGAAGCTCTGGTGGACTAGTGGCAAGAAGCTGAGCTGCAATCCCAAAGGTTCACAGTTCAAATCCACCAGATGTTCAGCAGCAGAAGGAGGGATAATCTCCTCCTGTGCCAGACAGATCCGATTCATCTGTACACAACAAGAAAGGGCGGGGTCGGGTGGGGGGAAAGAGGAAAGTGTGCATGAATGAGAAAATACTAATAGAAAGTCTTAAGAGAATGATTAGATTGCTTAAGCAAAAATATCCCTTCAAGTCAAAATCAGCACATAGCTGAACCTCCATCAGTTTCTGGAGGCTGTAAATTGTGTAGGAGGAGACTACCTACATTTCTCCTACAGAGCCATGGATGGATTCAAACTGTCAGAGAGGTACCACCTTTAAGTTAACAGAACAACCCCCT